GCACTTGATAATTCAATTTCCGTATTTACAACCGCTCGGTCGGGAGTCAACAATCGACCACCCGCAATTAATAATTTGCCATAGGACTCGCACATTACAATAATTATACAATAATTCATAATGTAATTGTGTTTCATAATAACATTAACTCTCGCTTTGACCACAACTACGCGAGAACGTAACAATTATAACGTGTAACAATATCGGTGCGCACTTTGCGTCCCGGACTCGAGAGAATATAACTCGTTTCCCGTATGCAATGAAGCGTGTACCTCGTCTAACAAAATAATGACTTTTTAACTGCACACATATATCTTCTAATTGAGTGCGTTGGAAAACAGATGAGAGTCATAGACCAACGTACGATTTATTGCATTATAAATACCAATGACTATCCGACGCAAAGTGTCAGGTGGAGGCTTCGAATGAATCGTGACTTCGGCGAAGCCTGTTCGCGCGTTATTACATAATTGTATAAAATTTTATTTCCACGTTCAGAAACGTACTCGACGTTCCCAGCTCGTTCCCCGGAGGCGCGCGAATGTCGAGAAATTTGTGCGGGAAAATGTACGCAACTTCTTTCGAGGAGAATGGCATCAAAGTTTCACTCGGCTTTAGAAGCGCGCCGCGGTAACTGCATATTATGAGAATAAGTAACAACCGCCGTCCCTGGAAAACCTCTCATGTGCTTTCTGCCGCGCCAGATAAGTTTTCATCTCCTTTTCTGTCTTTTTTCGTTTGTCTCATTATCTTCCTTTCTTTCCCTTTTCGTTGGCGTAAACACTCGCATCATTAGTAACGACGAAACCAGTTACAAAGAAAAAAGAGCAAAGAAAATGTATGAAATTTTGTAAGTATGAAGTTGCTCGTTACGCGCAGCGACTTGCATTTCGGTGGCGGTGGTATCGTTCCAGGAGTATCGTTCTGAGCGAGACAAAAGTTTCTTTGTAAATTATAAACCTCGTTAAACGATGGTCGCACGCGATCATACGCGCGGTACTATACACACCGTGATGAATATATTACGAACGCCCGGTGAATGGCGACACGACGAAGACAATACGAAGGTTTGCGAGTTTATGCGAGTTTTCTTTTGTCTGAGCTCCTTATTTTTCTTGTCGTATCGATTTACGAGCGACGCTCGCTTCCCCAAGGTACGTTTTGCCATCGCGTTAAAACAAAAAAGTTCCCATGTCGTTTCGTCGTATGACAGACAACCTTTCATGTATCAGACATGATCGTGAAATATTTCTTTGGAAATTGTACAAGTCTCCGTTGGGAGAGTTATTCGTTTAATTATGATTGTACTTAATTACTCTGTGTAACGAGAGCAAGTAGACACGAAAATTTCTAACGATTGAATAATTTTCATTGGAAAGTGATGTAATGGAGAGATCATTGTAATTATTTGCCATTAATAAATGTAGAAAGTGTAGACTATTCTGATTCGATTGATTATTGGAACTTTCGCCTTAACTAAAGCCATTTAAATTCTCTGTTAACCAGAAACTCTATTTACTTACAGTCGTTCACTTACTTTATACCATGGTGGAATACCTGTTGAGCAAGCATAGTAAATACGATGTATAAAATAATATGCAATTAAAGTGTTGTTTGAAAATCGCGAGAAATTCGGACCAAATACAAAGTAACGAATGAGGATTTCAACGCTGTTTTCCCAAAGGTGTTACTGTTACCTGATTATTTGAGATTTAATGGATCATGAAACTTTGTAGCGATAGAATGTGCTTGTTCTAGTTGGAAACTGAGACTCTTGTGAAACGTTGACTCCAGTTCCGTGCGTTTTAGCAGGTTTTTCATTATTTCTTTGCCGAACATCTCATTGAAGATCAGGTTCCTCGGAAGTCTCTACAATAAATACTACGCACACGTCTCCCCTATTCCTTTGATATTAAAAAGTAAGCAAATCGTTAACCTACAGTAACTTGTCTCTACTCTATAGTAACTTGAAATAATAAAAAATCAATCGTGCCTTGATCATCATATTCATCCAGAGAATAAGTATTTCAATAAGAGTTCAAAGCATGAAATAACATCACGTGAAATCCACATACAATCTGTATTCAACCGATAACCCGTGTTTGTACTGACGGTTGTTCTAGAAATTGGTGAAACAAAAGGTACCGATGGGATGACCGCAACGACAACGTAATGTTGTCGTCGACAAGCTCAATAAGCTGTCGTGGCCAGCTTTTACGTTATGCGATCTATCGCGTAGGTATGCAGCTGTCGTCGTGGATATTTTATAAGAAGACACGGTGTCCGTGCAACGCGGAAGAGCAAGGAATAGGCGATTCCTTGGGTCGGGTAACGTTAAGGGTAGGGAAAAAGGTCAGCGGCATCAGCGGTACCGCGACCTTCCCTACTCGGTGCCTCGCTCGTGTCTTAGCTTCGGCACCGTGGTGACTCATCCTTTTTCGATCTTCACGCGGCACGTCTTTACCCGATGAGTTTTCATTTCTTTAACCGCGGCCTTCATCATCATGAACTTCCCCGGCGTTCGCTTCGTCCGGCGATTCAAATGCGCAAACCATTCGCTCGGCTCTTTCCACGTGATTCGCCGGGAACCTTAATTAGAAAACGCCACCGACAGCTATCTCCCATCCCCTTTGTTAATCATAAACCGCAATCTTCTATTAACGCTTAAACAGGTGTACCATTCGATCGGCGATACTATCTTTAACTCGGGAGAATTAAATGACATAGGTATTTACTAATTTATGATATACTGGGTGTCCCGTAGAATGCAGAACTGCCGGAGGAACAGTACTTCTGAGAATACGAGTAAATGAAAGAATGTAGAATAACATTCTGAACGTTCTTTCATTTTTTATGGTGAGGAGTGTATGCAGATAAGCGAAATATCTCGTGCCTCCTGTTTTAGCTATTTGAGTAATGTGAAAGGACTGAGTTCCGCCTGAGACAACCGTTATACGAGTGTTTTTATAATAGACGTTAAAATACTTAATTGATACTTACATATGTAGAAACATATATGGAATTAAAGTAAATAAACATTGTGCGAAGGAAAAGAGAATTTTTAAAAAAATGTTAAAACTAACGCATTAGCATTTCATTTGCTCGTTGATCGTATGATGCCAATTAAATTGGCAAGAAATTTATAGGACTATTAAATGTACCATATCCTGGATTAACGTACAAACTAAGCCGAATTACGTATGTTAATGACCTTTCTTGGTAGTTTGAAGAAATTTTACAGAATGTGAAATTCGGTTTTTCTAAGATCTCTTCAAGTGAAATAGAGTAGAAAGCTTCGACCACAAAGGTTCGTTTGCCAAACGGATAATTTATCCACGATTAGATGGTTAGCATAAGAAAGATTAAATAATTAAATGTTTGTACACTTTTTTAAAATATTACTCAATCCAACCTGCACGTAGCGATGTACATACATACGAGCTTTGCATTCTTCAAAGTAGCTTTGGAGGTTTTCTTTTATCAAAGTGTTTACAAGCTTAACTTTTTCTTTCATTTTGCGCCGGGAATAAAAATGCGTTTTACGTTTATGGTAAAAGCGTATTCGCCAGATTTGATACCCTGTAATTTTCATCTTTCCCCAAAAGTGGAAAACGTGTTTTCATACTCGGCTTACGGTGGAAAAGGAAAGGGTCTTTTACAAAAAGCTTTGATAAAAATTAGCTGTAGTACTGATTTTAAAAGTTGGGGACGTGTTGGTTAAAAGTATTTTCAAGTAGCGACAAATTAAAGGCTTACGTTTTGTCAATGAACCGCTTTCGTCACATTAATCTGCTCGCTCAATCGTAAAGGCACTGTGTGATGAGAACAAAGGTAAATGTATAAAATGGTTTTTCAAACGCTCCAACGAAACTTGAAGAGTATTTCTACGGATCTGTTCAGTAAGTCTTAACATCTACAGCAATTCTTTTTTAAAAAATATTATATTCGTATTCTTCTCTTATGAAAATGTCATATTTCGTAATCACAGCGAGTACCGTACAGTGTGTGCACAGAAAATCACATAAACGATTTAGAAGGTATTCTAATTTCTTCACTGTAATTACTGATCAATCGTTTAACATAACATGGAAACACGTTTTTTTATATACATTCAATATTATTTCTTGTGACGCCAATTTTAAATACGATGAAAGATATACAATACAATCAGCCCATACGAGGTGTGAAGTCAACATCTTTCCCCTTTCCAAAATCAGCTTTCTAACGATCAATTAAAAACGAAATGATTATAGACTACGTTTTCAATAACGCAACAGTTGCGAGAAGTATATTCTATAATTCAGAAATTTTTGAAAAGATATAGGCTAATTATAGCTAAGAAAAGTTAATCGAACAAGTGATAAAATAGTTTAAAACGTTAATGTTAATAAAGAAAATATTTTAAACAGAGAAATAGGATCAACTGAATTGCTTACTGCTTCAGAGCGTGTGAGGCATAAAGTTGATATAAAAAGTATAGAAAGAACGAGGACAGCGAACTTCATTCTGCGAAACATGATTTACTTCTTGCGGAATTCTGAACTTCGTTAATATGAATCTATGTGATATTGCTTCATATATAAAGCAGCAGCGCGGACAGTGAAACATTTAAATTTATACTTCGTGACTTAGTTGTTAAAATCATATGTATTGAAGTGTACCTATTAAAAATAACAGAAGTGATAAAAACGCAATTAGAGAATCAATAAACTGGACAAATTCTATTTTCATGAATTTTTTTTTGAAAGTAGAAAGAAAGTTTCTTTAAATAAAGTGTTTTAATTGATATCACTATCAGGTATCTTAGAACAGGATTTTTACATCATACAAAATGCCGTTGTCATAGATTACAGTAATAAAAAGTTAGAAGCATCCTATGATAAGCTTTATTTTCCACAATATCAGGTTTTCTACTCATGAAACTTTCCGTCTATAGCAGAGATAAAAGTACGGTTGTAACAGTTGCAAATTATAGTGGTAAAGTATTGCATATCTTACTTCTTTTCATAAATTTTGTAAAATATTCCATAAAAAGGAGTAAATTCTGACGATAATACTAAATTAATAACATTGTCACGAAAAACCCGACTTAACGATAAAATGTTTGTGACTAAATTGAGTATATAAATGGTGAAAATGTTCGTGGGTGTTAATAGTTTCAAAAAACCTAAACATAGCAGTATGCAAGAGACAATGAAAGCGACTTTTCTCTTACTGTCCATGATTTACCTCACAACATTCTTTATTGCATCATCTGAAGCGGTAAGAAACGCATTTGATATTAGTTTTTACACTGAGAAGTTCATTACGCATATTTTCTTTGTAGTACATAATTTGGGTACCTCCAAATAGACCCCCACGGCCTCAGAACGGATAATGTAAGTCAATACTTCCGAAAGGTGATTATAATCATTAATTCCTACGACTATAATTCGAAAATGTCATTACATAATATTTCATCAAATAATTATTAATAACCACTAAAGATAAAGTAATTATTTCTTGTTTAATTAATTACCAGGGTCCACTTCGTAAAACCAAAATGTTGGAGTTGGTATCAAGAAAGGCTTGCAGATTGTATTTATCATAATAAGAATAATATGTAACCTTACGAGACATGAAATATAATAGATGAAGCATACAAATCGTATCGCCCTATTATTCATAATTGTTAAGATTATTTCTTCCGTGATTTTCTTTACAATAAATACAGTAAACGTAAGTTTCTTTTTATTTACGTATGTAGTTAAATATTTTAAGACCCTGCTATAACAATAGTTCTGTTCTGTCCGTCCAAGGCACTTGTAGAATGAATTAAATAAATAATACGTACAAAACGGACTAAATTATTTTCGCATGTTTTCCCTCGTCATTAGGTCAGGATTGTTTTTGACAGCAGATGCATTCGTAAGTGATAAATATTTCTTTTTCCTGAATCTGTAACACAAAGTTTTGTAGAAATGTCGAACAGAGTTCAGTGAAGCTCGATGAGCTTATTATTTATTTACGATCTCTATATCTGACAAATATGTCGTAATAAACCATCTTATACGAGTAAATAGTTGATTCTGTTGCGTGGAAAATTATCAACAGAATTTAATTTATTTGCAGCCACTCACCACTCAATTTATAAATATGCTGAATTAATCATATAGACCGAAAATGTGCCCCGACTTGTTGCGACACTCGAATTCGATTACTGTAATCGCAATTATTTGCCAACAAAGCGCCACGTCACTTGTGGAAGCACATAATAATATTACCATCCTATATTCCTAAATGTATAACACATTTATCAGAAAAGTGGAAAGAGTTACTGGGACGTTGCAGTTATTAAGATTGAATTACAGCATCACACAAAGTGAACAAACGCTTGCGTTCTTTATTAAACGCCCGAAGGGAGCGCGCCGCGGAAAAAATGAGATTTTGTTACTTTTCAATGGTTATCACGGTAATTAAAAAACACGGAACGGTCAAAGACGTCACTCAGTGCCGCGTTCCTCGGGAAATGTAAAGACCTTTAAAATCCACTCAACTCTAATTTCACTTCTAATTTCTCTGCATATTATAAAACGTATATCCGCTTTGCAATTCGCGAATCACTATCTCTTTTCACAATTTTATTACTATTTTCAAGATTTGAAACACATTGCCATTTTTATGAGTCAGTATATATTCATTTACTAAAACGTGATCTTCAATAGCCTTCGAAGCAAAAATTAATAGTTGTACAGATTTTCTGTATGGTATCCTCTATACTGGATGTAAGTTCTCATCATAAGAGCTCTTTTGTTAGACGTTTTTCCCTATTTAATTAACGAAGAGTTATTGTCACAGATTCTTGAAGCTTGTCGAACTCCTTCCTCCATTTTATTCAGCAAACCTATCTCAACAGTCGTGACGTCGATCCGAGCATGCGTCAATTAAACGACTGCTGCTGTACTCGGAGAACCATTAGCACTCATAAAATCAGGGTTATAAAGGTCGATGTTCTGATTCTTCTGACAATTAAAAAGCAATTTTTCTCTTAGGTATTTCTTAGCTGAAATGGATTATCCGAATCCATCGGCGGTACTTATCTGTCGTCGAATCAGCAATAGCTGAGCCGGCCGGGATGTCGGTCGCGAATGCGCAAATCCTTCAACCTGCCACAACATCGGTCTCAGGGATTAAGAACGTCTGCGACATCGAAATGTAAAACGATGACGCGGATGTGCTACAAGGCTCGTTCCCTGGGACATTTGTTTTCAGAGTCTAATTAAAATTCACGGGCCACGGTTATCTTAAGGATTAAATCCCGCTGTCTGTAAAGACATCTGACTGATAGCAACCAGGGATATTAAAAGGCTCCACAGTAAGATTTGCGTAAGTACTATTTGACGAAACGCTTCCATCTGTCGTTCCGGCAAAATGGCGGCTGGCGGTTGGCAATGGCGGATCGTATTTAGAGCGCACGTAAGTTTTATACGGTCGCTTGCATAATTGAAGGACAATGAGTTACAAGTCACGTTAAATTATAGATTGTTTCATGCCAAATGGGACCAAATTTACTATTATAATTGCTTCTGTAACATATCATGATTTCTGTCTAATTAATTTCATCGATTCGTTAAGTAATAATATATATCAGGTTTGAGTTGACTTCAAGTTAGATTGAATTAATGAAAATTACGTTCATCACTAAAACACGGACAGTATGAAATATTGTTTATTAATGAATTTCCTGAAATAACTGAAATATATTACCTTCACAAGCTCTCTCTGGTAATTGCAAATGAATTGTTTCCCTCTCTGAATCAAGTCCAATCGATTGCAGTTGCATTATCATAATAATTTTCAGATATGTATTATTAATTATTGAACACAGTTTGCAATACGCGATTGACAAGTAAGTACGGAACTGTAGCGGAAAATTACGCGGCAACGGAGTCGATATTAAGCCGGCCTTTGCCGTGAAAAGGGGGGAACGATTCCTTGGAACGATTTTTCCATTCGACACGATTCCCTTGTTGCGGGACGCTTACGCGAGCTTAATTGTAACTTGCCGCGCAACACGGGCGCAACTTCGCCTCCCGTTTCCTCGTTATATTAAGCAAGCTTCGAACAATCGGATTTCTTCGGAGCATTACCGGGGCGAACTTTTAATTAAATGTAATAGCGTGACGCAATTACTGCGCGCCCGTACCTTGTCACGTTTAACGCTCGGTATAATCGAGCATGTGTATTTTCAGGCAGGGTACATGCGGGCATAAGCAACTATTCTCTCGCCCGGCAATGTGCACGGGAATGTAACTAAACAAACGTACACCCCGGGATCACCCTAAGTGTTTGCGCAAGTCGTTGCCTAGTATTGTAACACAGTTCGCATGGTACGCTGTGCGTCAACCATCGTCAGAATTAGGGAACACGGTACCTACCTTGTATCGGTATTGTCGTTCCTGTTAATTAATAAACCCGGCTACGGCCTCGAGCAATTCAGCTACCCCTTAATAAAATGCTTTTCGAGTTTCCGTGGAATGAATACGCTCGAGCATCCGAATAGGCAATTAGGTGAATACGGAAGTAATCATGGAAGTGTCCTATATTCGGAAAGGATAAGAAAATGATAATAATTCGTAATTATTGTGAAAATAATAGTGGAACTAACGGTAATTACGTTGTTCGGTAGTTTGATATTAATTCGCGTCGTTATAAATAAAGAAACCGTAATTATAGGAGCTATTAGATTTCCAGACGTGAAGCTACTGAAGTAAGGATTAGCATTAATTGTGTCAGTCAGGTTTAAACACAATTCTGAGAAGTAGAAATTATTAAAAACACTTGTCTGGCGTTAATTTGACAACGTACAATGGGGATGGTTTAAAAGACGTCACCGATCGCGTTGTCACGGCTGCCCGAATCGGTAAACAGTTATCCACGAGGAAAAAGTAATCCACAAACACCGTTTAGCGGAAATTCGGTTCTGCTAAAGCTTGCGCTAACTCGTGTGTAACGGGTAGGATTCATTGAAGCCACGATAATCCCCATCGCAGGCTGTAATGGAAACACCGGTAGCCTGAATACATATGTATTCGTTAAACGACCAATACGAGACCGATCGATGACACGAACAATGAGCAAAGTTGCCAGTTACCCTGCATGTGGACCAGGCATTATCTCGTTGCAACAACAGAGTCATTCAGAGTGTTTCCTGATACTTAACAATGCGGATAGCCGCTTAACTATAATTACTTCATTGTCGGGCTGCTCATAACTCCTCGGTTCGTCAACCATCAGCGATTCTGTTTGGAAACGGATCAAGCTCAGAAAGCTGGAAACGCTGCACGATGGTGCCTAGCGAAACGAAGACGGATGAAGGGATAAATTCGGATCAACGAGGAACATTCTTCGTAAAAGGTTCGCGGAATGTACGTACTTTCGTGTCACGTTTATAATTTATTCTAATGGAAAGTATGAAATATTCAAGAGAATAAGGGAATATACTCCGTTAATGTTATTACTGAAATGCTACCATTCCTTATTTCACTGAAATATCCATCCAGATCGATTAACTTATAATATCGTGGTTCAATTTAAATAATAGACCCAGCGTGAAAACCAGGGAAAATAGTTCGTGCAGAAACTCCTTTATAAATGCATTCTTTAATACATAATCAGTCGTGTATAACTCTATAATAATTTCAGGGAAAAATTGATCGAAATGTATAAAGGAAAATCAATTTAGTTCATAAAATATTTGTCTAGCATTTTATTGGATACATAGCCATAAGTTATATACAAGATGTTTCATGTTACGTGCATCCAGTGTACGGTAGATTTATAACTAGCATCGGCGGTAAAGAGCAATAAACAAGATTCGCGTATCACTGTATCGAAACTGCGCGCTAATTGCGGCGGAAAGAATAATTATTAACGACTCTTTTCAAAGCAATCAATCTCCGAAACGCGAGAATCACTCGACTGCCGCGGCGCATCCATTATACACGCCTGTTAAGCATGTATTTCCGGCGGCCACGTGGCCGCTCACGATTTCAGGATTCCGCGTCCGACGGCCCCTTTAATTATCGTTGCACGCGAAGGTCCGAGGAAAAGGTCGGTGGGTGATGATTCGCGATAAAATGGACCGACCGTCACTCACTTGTCAAGTACGCGGACCTCCCGGGCTCAAAGAAACCAGTTCAGTTCAACGAGATTACCGATACACATGAACTGTAATATGTAAGTATCTGAAACTTTTTATTCGCGATTTATTGTTCGGTTATAATAATTATAGTAATTAACGTAGATGGAAATACATTATTAATAATTCCACACGATTTCGTGTATAATACGGTATTACTGTTTAATTAGGTCAATGTATTAAATTGGTTGGTAAAGTATTAATTAGTTCCCGACAACTTCGATATCGAGTTTGATAGGTGAAATTTATGTAATACAGACTATGTAAAACTTGGTAGGACATGCTAATCGAATGCGATAGCATGGAAAAAATGTATTGGTGCGGAACAATATGCTAATTCATGAAATAATAAACGTTTTGATAGATGAATGAATCAGGATTCGCCGTGGTATAGGTGATGTTTAATGCACATAAACAGGTTTTATGGAATAAAATCAGCAGATTTAAATTCATCCGCGTGC